TGTCAGCCAGGGCGTGGGGCTCCTCCAGGCCGCCCTCCGGCCCCGCCTCCTCCGCCGCCCCTGCGCCCGAGAGGCGCAGCCAGCTCTCCGCCATGTCTGCGGGGACTCTCCGAAGGGGCGGTCAGCACCCACGGCTGAGCCCCGGTGGCCCGCCGCGCTCTCCGGCCCGCTGACTCCCGCGGCTCCAGTTACACCGCCTCCCGGACGCGCGCTTCCATCCCCAGACCTGGGGGTCGCCTCCTCCGAATGCGAACGTGGGGCCTGCGGGGACCGCGGCGGGAGCTGAGCCTTTTCCCCACCCCGGGGGCGGGGGGGTTCCTCTAAAGTCGTCCCGCAGCTGCGGGGGTGCGTTAGGGCTGAGGTCTGGGAAACAGGACCGACCCCCGCAGGGACCGCCTCGCTTCATTTCCTCTTCGAGGTGGAAGAGGTTATTAGCCAAGTGAAGGGAGAGGGTAGGAGCATTCCAGTCGGTCCCGTTCTCCCCAAGAGCGGGAAGTCAGACACCCCCACCCCAAATCAGGGGAAGGGACGAGGGAGCCCGCGAGGGCAGGACGACAGGGCGGGGGCCCGGGAAGGTCGTCTGATCTTTGAAAAGGGATATTCGGATGGGAGATCAGGGGAAGGAAAGGATCGGGGAAAAGAATGACGGGGCGGAAAGTCAGGTACCCCAAAGACACAGATGTCGGTTTCCAGGCCTACCACTTGCTGCGGGACGCATGGGAGAGCGCGCTGCCGCTCACCTTCCGCGGCCCGCAGACCTCTCAGTCCCTTACCTGGCTCAGAGCGCAGCCCGGGCTAAAGGAAGGTTCTGGAAGAAGTTACCACCACCCCCGCGGCTCTCTGCCCTCAGCTTGAGGGCCCCGCCAGCACCCCTCGTCGTCCCCACAGCCTGAAGGCGCCTCTCTGAGCGCCCGGGGCCCGGGACCCGCATTAAGTAGCCGCTCCAAAGGCTTCTCCTGCTGCCATGGCGACGCCCCGCCCCCATAAACAGCTTTCGCTGCTGCCATTGGTCAGCACGTCTCCAAGGTGACCGCGGGCTCTTGCCACTCTCTCCGGCGGTAACTCTCTTGGAACTCCCTCCTTCTGCCTCCCGCTCCCGCGCCACCCAGCCCCCTACCCGCCCGCGGCCCGCGCCTCGCATTCCCGCCCGAGGGGCGCGCGCAAGTTTCGGAGAAGCACGCGGCTCGGCGCTCCTGCCGACTCGGGCACCCAGGGGAGCCGTTCCCCCCAGGACCCGCACTCCCGCCCTGCCCCCTCCTGTCCCGGCCGCACCGAGGCGTCTACGGCTCCGGGGACGCAGCCCGGGGCGCGGGGCAATGCCCAGAGCGGGCTCCGACTCGGGAACCGCGGGCTGGGGTCCCAGGGCCTCTCCTCCGGGCTGCGAGTGGCACTTCCTCGCGTTCCGCGGCCTGTCCCTCTCTGCCGATCCCGTGTCGGCTCTGGTGCCCGCGGGCAGGTGTGACTCTCCGATGCCACCTGCCGCCCAGGTCCGCAGCCATGACCTGCCCGGATCGCAGACGCACCAAGGCGGGTAGGGTCGTCCCTCCCGTTCCCGGTAAGCGGCTGCCTCCCCACCCCTGACATTCCAGAGGCTTCTGCGGAAGTCCTCCCTCCTTCCCAGATATCTGAGGAAGCAGACCCAGCGGGTACAACTCAGAGAAGCCGCGGACTTCCCAAGTTCTCCCAGCCGCGCCATTTAACCCAACAATTCCACCCCCTGTAAGTGACAGGGACTGTGGCCCTCCCCCCCCCCCCCCCCTCCTGTCACCAGCTTCCCTGCTCTTCAATTATGGAGGAGCTGCAGTGTTGGGAGTTCTCGGGTTTAAGGGCAAGGGTGGGGCTGAGGGCTCCTGGCCCAGGCCTCTGCCCAGGAGCTGGAGGGCTGCGGAGGGAAGCCAGTGCCCAGGGGATGGCACATCCACTCCCTCCCAGGGGCATGGCCTCCCTGCCCCTTGCCCTCGCCTCCCCTCCCCTCCACACTCTCCCGTGTTAGAGGTAAAGGGGGCGGGAGAGTCAGACAGGAACTCTCAGTAGTAACCAACGGCGGCAGCAGCAGCGCTCTCCTTCCTTGTAAACAGTTTTATTCCGTTTTAAGAATCATGCAGCAGCCCATGAACACCGCATCCCGACGCCCCCACTGTCGCGTACCCATGAGCGTCACCCCAGGGATGAGGGGTATACGGGTGGCACAACCGTACAGACACCCCTGCACACAGCCGGGGTGCAGACCCTAAAGCAAGGTGAGCATTGAGGGGGCCAGGGTCAGGCTGACAGGACCCTAGCTCTCTCCGGGTGAGATGGCTTCAAGTGTGTGGGCCTGTGCCCCAGAGGTGCCCGGTGTGGGCGTGAACTCCGGTGGGATGGAGAAAGGCTCTGCCAGGAGGCCTGGATCACACTACCTGGAGGCCGTGGGGAGCTCAGGCCCGGGTGGAAGGAAGGAGTCTGCCTCTGCCCGTCCATTCTCTCGGGGGCAGCGGCCTGGTCCCCTCTCAGGCTGAGGACTGGCCTCTGGGGGCGGTATCTCTGCTTGCCAACATCTGAATGAGAAGGAGGGTGGGGGGCAGAGGACAGGAAGTGACTGAAAAACAAGGACTGAGGGGCCATCCTATAGCCCAGAGGTCCTGGGTAGGGAACCAGGGCTTAGAAGAGCCTTTCTGAGCCTCTCTCCCCCTGGGAGCGGACACAGACCCCCCAGAAAGGGTGACGGTGATGGCTTCCTCTTAGGGTTCCTGGCCCCTGTGGCTGCTGTTGACCTGCGGCTCCTTCATCTCAGGTGACACCACACCGTGAAGGCTACCTGCCGGAAGAGCAGGTGGGTCTGTGCGCCTCTCCCGAGGCTGAGGGAAGCCCCCTTCCCGGGCGTTTCTGGGGCTCAAACTTGGAGGAACTCAGGGAGTGGGGTTATTGCTCAGATCTCAATAGGAAAGGGGCTGGGGCTGGAAGAATGCCGGGGGGTGTGTGGGGGGGAAGGACACAGAGTGGGGCCTGAGCCAGTGGAGTCCACGGCAGGATTCCAGAGAGGGCGGACGGGGGGAACTCCATCCAGAAGCTTCGATTCCGGCTTGGCTCACGTGGCACCTGTCAGAACAGCAGGTTCCCCGACCAGGCAGAGCGTGAGCCACAGCCACTGGGCGGCGGGGGGGCCCTGCTCACCCGGCCGTGCAAAAGGCCGCCTGAAGGGTGCTGAGCCAGGGCTCAGGGCTCCCTGGGAGGCTTGGCAAGGGCCCCGAGAAGCTCTTCCGGGTGACAGTTCCAAATCCTAAGACAAGCCATCGGCGGGCATAGCCTGGGCTCCACGCCTCAGCCTCACACGTCGCTGTTGACAGCTCTGCCTCCCAAGCCCGCGCTCGACCACCTTTTCCAAAGGCCAACAGACAGAGCGTCTGTCCAAGAGCCGAGGACTCAGGAGAGCCGGCGCCGAGAGGGGGACCAGCACTCATGGTCCGGGGCAGCCTTGCTCTCACCAGCTTTTGGGCTGAGGGGGGGTGGGCACGTGACTGGAACACTCTCTCTAAGTCTCTAAGGAGCCTGTGGGAGGCAGTCCCTCCCCTTGCCCCTCTCAGGCTCAGGAGGACTGGAAGGCGGGGGGTGGGGGGGTGCGGGAGGAGACGCCCAGGGGTGAAAGCCCTGCCTCCTGCCACCAGCGCCCGGCCCACTGCCGGCCCCCAGCTCAGTGCTCCGCACCGCTTCCTTGGGGAGTCCAGGGTACCAGCTGGAGGGTCCCTGGTCCACCCCCCTCTCAGCCTGTCTCTTCAACTATGAACAAACAGGGGTGGAGACGGGGAAACGGGTAAGAACACCACTGGACAGGGCCAGAGTGATGACAGCTCCACGCACCGGAGAGAGGTGGTCACAAATGTGTTTTGAAATGTCACATTAGGGTGGGGTCCCAGGCCTTCCCGGATGCACCTGATCTAAGGCCCTCCAGAGGGCGGTCATGTAACTGGGGAGGGTGGGGGGTGGGGCGTTGGTCTCAGGTCCAAGGCCTCCTCTCTAAGCAAGACACTCACATGACGCTTAGACCAGCTCGCCTGCTGGAAGCAAGAACTGTCTTTTCAACCAACCATCTGGTGGGCTGGTACCATTTCTCTTGTCCTTGAAGGAAACTCCGCATACAGTGCAACATGGCTTTGCCTTCTCACGTGTCTCCCTCAAATCCACCCCGAACTGGAGGTTTCAAATTGGAGTTGCTGTCCCTGACACACGAAAACACCTGCAATGCAGCCGCTAAGACTCCGAGCCTTCTGGTCTACCCGCCATGGAGCAGAGAGATGCTCAAGACGCCAGCCTGTGGGCCGTGGCTCCCCTGAAGATCAAGATACAGTGGGAACGTTCCAGAGGGTCTCTGAGGAGGAAGGAGGCGTCCAGCCCCTTCGGAGAGGGCCGGGGTCCTGGTGATGGAAGGCTGGGGGCCAGGAGGAGCAGGCTGGCCTCCACGCCCAGCTCCCACGTGGGTGTAAAAGTCTCCACGTGTCCCGCTGAGGATGCCCAGGAGGCCATGGTCCAGTGAGTCCAGGATGGGATGCGGGGACCGGAGGAGGCTCTGGCCTGGGGCGGGCTCTCAGACGGCCAGAGGCCCCCACACGCAGCGCCCGCTCTCGGCATCCTCCAGGCTGCTGGACGACCGGCGCCGACGCCGAGGGTGCCGACGACTGAGCGCGTTGTCATCGGCCTGCCAGGTGCCTGAGGAGAGAGAGGGACGTCACAGGGCCAGACCTCCGCCCGGTCCCTGGGTCTCCAGCAGGGCAGCCGGGAGCTCGGCATGGAGGCTGGCAGGATGCGTGTCACCTGAAACTGCGTGTGCGGCCACAGCGCGGGAGAGGGAACGGGAAGTGGGCGCCCCTGCCCCATGGGGCCTCTGCGCCCATGACAGAGGGACACGCAGGCTGTTTCGCGCTTTGTGGACTTGCCCTGGGACCCACGTTAGTGCCCTGTTTTGAAGTCGGCCCACGTGCTATGCTGGACGAGAAAGAAACTGGGCCCAGATGAGCTTTCCTCCGATGGGAAGAAGTGTTTGCACCCCGAGTGTCTGCTGGGGGGGGGCGGGGCGGGGCAGGAAGTGACTGGCTGCCCAGCAGGGTGCTAGAGACATGGGGGAGGCAGTGCCATGGCTTCTGCACCCCGTCCCCACACCGGCCGCTCTTCATCTTTGTGATCTGAGCAGCCGCCGGTGCCATCCACCTCAGGAGGCACTAGCCGAGAAACTGGGGGTCCCATAGGTGTCACCCCTAAACTCTTCACCCTCTCCTCAGGCCCCTGCGGCTCTTCTATCTCCTTCGCACTCTGCATCCCACCCACCACCGCCCCTCTGTTCACTCCCCAGGCTGCCCAACCTGCCCTCAGGATGGCTGGGCTCCACTGCCGGCTCCTGCCTTCCCGCATGCATGAGCTTGCGGACTGGGTGAGGTCACGGGGAGAGCGCCGCCCAGCGGGGCGCCCACTAGCAGAAGGTGCACAATGGCCAGTGCCCCAGGCTCTGTCCCCGCATGCTCACCTCTCCGCATCTCCCCCTGCCCACCCTCCCTGCCCACGGCCCGGCTCCATCCACGCAGGGAGACGCTCGTGGACAGGTAGGGCCAGGCTGCCCACAGCACAGGAGGAAGACCTAACTCGGGGCTCCGAGCAGCGGAGCCCCCACCCGCCTCCACAGGCCCTGCCAGATGAGGCCCAGGGGGTCGGAGGGCTCCCCTGAAGCCCGCATGGACGCCCCACTTCTCACGCTGTGCCTGGACCACCTCCTGAGCAGGGCCGACCTACTCTGCAGGGCGGGGCCGAGGTTGGCCGTGCTCATGTTTGAGGGGGGACACTCACAAATGTGGGGGGCCGGCTGCAGGCTAGGCCAGCCAACCCACACCCTCTGGTGGCAGAGGCTCTGGGGTTAAGCGGCATCAACCGCTTATTTCCAAGAAACGTGCTGGGCGATAATGCTTTCAGGGCTCTGATAGTCGGGGAGGTGGGCCCCGGGGAAGAGGGGTGAGCAGAAGGGAAACCCTCAGGTGTCGCACACCCAGCCGGAATTGGGGGGCCGCTGGTCCCTGGGGTACCGGCATCGGGGATGGGGGTCAGCAGCTCCTTCCCTGCGAGGGCGGCACTCTGCGTGCGCAGGACCAAGAAGGGAAGGCGAGGCCGCCGGTGACGTGGAGCCCCGAGGCGGCAGGAGCTGTGTCATGTACACAGTGGGGTGGTCGCATACCTAGTCCTCGGGGTTTAGGGGGCAGGACTCCGGAGCTGCGCTGTGCGGTGGGAAAGACCAGAAGCAGATGGTGAACAGGAGCGAAGACACACACGCATGCACAGAACAAAACGCCGCTGCCCCAGACCGCGGGCCGGGGTCCTGCTGAGCTCACAGGAGCCCTCGCAGC